ATGTAATTATACATACATACATATAGAAGGAAAATATGAAAAATGGTTATCTAACCTTAACTACACCACTTTCAAGAACAAATAACATTATACTTAACACAAACAATTTCTAGTATACCATGTTATACTCTAGTTCAATACAAATTCCAGGATATTTATAATCTCACTAAAAAACTTCATAACTCTTACTAGCACAAGCAAATATTTAACTTATCTATGGTTTGTTCTGTATTCATATATTTATTTTATGTGGGTAGGATTTTGAATTCTTACTTTTGTATTTTTGTTCCAAATTGAATTAATCCAATGCATAAAGATTCAATGTAGTTTATAAGATTTAAAAATAGCCAAAGAATAATGGGAAATGGGGGGGGGGACCATAAAAGCACAAACATTGCCTATATGATGCAAAGCAGAGCAATTTCTCCTGTAAGAAACAACGAAACATGGTATTGAATAGGGACCATAACTTAAGAAAATGTTTTGTGTTATACCTAGCAACCAAAATATGTACTGTACATGTATAGTACCTGTACTATACTATACAACACATAATGTACACACATGTATAACAAATTCTGAGTTAAAGGACCTTTAAACAGCATCTTTATTTACCAAACACTTCATTGAAAACCATTTTTATGAGCATTTTGAAGCAGCCCTGTACACTTTAAAATATTTTCCTTTTTTAATAGAAAACATATTTGTGACATTTTTAAGCAATGACTCAAATAGAAAACCATTTTTAGTGTAAAACATCATGGAATATTAAACAGTATTTTAAAAAGATTTTACCATAACCTTTAATTTTTATGTTCTTATTTTGGGTAGTGTATACATTGTGCTTGATTTACTTGATTGAAGAAGGTGTTGGAAGAGGATTAGGCAGAGGATGAGAATGGAGATGCAACCATAAGGTCATCAACATCACCAACATCCACAGTCTTTATCTCTATAGAAGACATACACTCAGGATTTTCCTTCATTTGAGTGCCAGAATGGCCTGCTTTGGGTTCCTTGGGTGTCTTTTTAAATAAAGAGTCCAGGTTTGTCTGTTTTCCTATTTGCATGCTATTAGTCTATGTTCTTTGGTGTATTATTCAATTAAATAAAAATTAATTAGTGCATTACTATATTACAATATGATTTTTTGTACGTGAAAGACTTATAATGTTAACTGAAAGACTGCCAAATTTCTTGAAGATTTACAAAATATATTGAAAGTTAGAAGTATTAAATTTATAAAGACTTTAAATGAGTACAAAGAGGTCATGTGGTCAGTCAAATTGATCGAGTACATGTTGAGAGAGTTAAGCTGAACTGAGTCAAAAACTATGAACAACGTATGTGTGGGGAAATTTTACGTTGTGTTCTTCAAAAAGTTAGCAACGTAAGTGTGAAACAATGTATACCCTGACGACGTATAACGAAGACCCCCTGTACTTGTATATGTAAGTACATTATGCTAATACAACAGTAAATTGACAAACAAAAATTTACAAGTATAATGAATTTTTTTTTTTTTACCTAGTATATTATTCTACCTGGTATATTTTCTAAATAAACAACTTTTTTTTTATAAATCATTGTTGGTCAGTTTACTATTATTCTCAGTTAATGAAATTTGAATTTTCTAAACAACACAATTTGGATTCCAGTTATATTAATATTACTATTATCTGTAACCAAGTTATATTACAACCTGTGTTTTCAAAAGCAAAATTAAGGATCACGTGCCACATAAAGTATTAATAAAATGATTCATTAAAAGTGGAATTTATACTTTAATCTCAGGGTTTAAAGATATTTCTTCAAGATATATATGTGATCTTGGATATCTTAAATGCATGAAAAAATATATAACTGCATACATTATTGATTTACTGGTTTTAATAATGTAGCAAGGTTACTTGTAATACAGTTACAAATGTTTTACCTTTTACATGTTTGTCTCTAATTTTTACCTTTCATGAACACAGCTAGCACAAGATGATATAAGAAGAAACTTTAATGTAAAGGATTTGAGCAACCCATGATTGGTTACCAAAATCTGTTAAAGGTATTATACAAGACAACAACATTTTGATTCAGTCTAGATATTTTCGAAGTCAAATGCAAAAATAGTTAATTTGCCTTTAACATGCTTCATCAATAACAGAAAAGCCACATTAAAACAAGGGAATGCCTTCTTTACTAATTACTATTTCTCATTACAAATGTAAATATGTAAACATAAATTTCCACTCTCTCTTCTGAGTAGTCATCATGACAGTAAGTTTAATTATGACACTGCACATATCACAATGTGATATATACACAGTGGTAAACAGGTATCCATTTTTAATTATATGGCAATATATTATGGTTACTCAATCAAGTCTTAAAAGTAACTCCAAAAATACAAGTCTATATAATATATATACACAAATCACACTGAGTTTTATGTCAAAAGCAATATCCTAGGTTCTATATTAGCATCATATTTGAGCTATAATAGTCTATAGGTAACTGTTTTATAACTATATATTTGATATAACTATAAATAATTGTAATAAAGCTTGAAGTTTTTCCGATTTAATGATTTTAAATTAACAGCTTGTATTTCTACCACCATGTACATGTAATCACCTACACTCAGTACAAGTATCTTTAGATTCCATAATATCAAGAACAATTCTCTACATTACATCATCACATACAGTACAATTTCACATTTAAGATCAATCATGCCATTTGTTAATGCATATGTTTCCTTGTATTATTGCAAAGTTAGAGTGGATGCACAGAAGTGAAGACACTTTGTTTAGTGCATTCTAATTAAGAAGTTAGCACACAGGATTACATACAAAGTTGTAATGGTTTTCAAATGAGACCAAAACATGAGTGCTTTAGAATAGTTCACTATTCTTCTTCAGTAGAATAAAGGGTCTTTTTGCTTTGGGACAGGGAGAAGGTTCAGGGCTTGTTAGGTTTAGAAAGTCATCAAGTTTAGGGCTTTGTGAAAGGTTGTTGGGTGAAGGGTGATGATTTCCTTGAAAGGTTGTAGAAGATTCTATGTATGGAAGGAGAAAAGCCTCAGAGGATGTGGAGTTTGGAAGGCTGTCAAAATATGGGGTTACTAGATGGTTGCTGAGAATAAAAGAGGAAACCTTGAAATCTCCATAAATACTGCATTTAGGAGAAGGGGAAGTAATGGTTGAAAAGGGGTTTATAAGTGTAGAAGTGTGACTTGCAGTAGTATCAGAGTTTGTGAATGGGAAGGAATTCTTTGGTTGTGTGTCAGGTTTAGAGCTTAGGGAGAAGTTTCTTGAAACAAGAGTGAAAGCCGTAACTTTTGCATAAGTGCAACGTTTAGAAGAATGGGCACATCTAGTTCTGGGAGAAGTAGTGACAGAAATGGGGCTTGGAAGTGCATTGGACATGTGGCATACAGAGGTGTGCTCTATGGATACAGGGAATAGAGTAGGTTGAAGGAGATATATATAACTAGAGGTATTTGGTGGATCTAGGTAGGATTGTTCAGTGGTTATTAATAGGTGAGAGAGAATATAATTAGTGATAAAGAAAAAAAAATTACAGGATAGGGAAGAAATTCTTTTGATGGAAAGGTGTAAATCATCCTTTGCTAAGAAATTTGTCCTGTTTTCAAGTTAAAAACTGGTGTTGTAAAAGAAGGATAAGCGCGAGTTACTTTGGCAGAGATAATGCGTGATAGCATTAAATTTGTCAATTTTCTGGTTTAAAATGTCAGTAGTACAGGTATGTTGTCTTAGATGTATATCAGTTTGTCTATTGACATCACGGTAGATAACACTAGAGAAACAAACACAGTGAGTCAAAATATGTACTAGAAAGATTTGTAGGTCATTAAAACAGTCATAAGCTGCCATTCAATGTCATTGGTTCTGACATGAAGAATTAAGTATTATTAAGCATGTTTAGTGCATGTAACAACTATATTTCTCAACTAAAATGCCAGGTGGAATCTGAATAAAGAAAGGCTTATAAAACATCCATACAATGTTAGATATACTTTAATTGTGGGTAGACTCCACAAGCATACTAACTTTGTATTTGGGGATGTAACTTTTAGCACACTATCAATGGGAATCCTATTTTTTCATTAATATGGACACATTTTCAATTAAGTTAATAAACTATGTTTTTTAGACATTTGATGCATAGAAGTGATAAGTATGAAAACTTATTTATTTCTTTGTAATTTTATGCAAAAAATTACACATGCATGAAAAACATTTATTATAGTCACTTGATATTTCCCATGATGGCCAATTATTCTTTAATGTGAAAACAATAAAGTATTTTCTGAATATACTGACAAAATATCAGGTCAATTTCAATATAACTTTTTCTCACAGACAGTTTCACTAAAAAAAAAGTGGAATTAGTTACTGGGGAGGAGAGTATCCAATTACATTAAAGCCAGTTGCTTCATTACAGAATAATATCATAAAAAAATGTGTAATATAAAATTTTTAAAACATATATTTTATTACATATTTTTCTGCGAGATATTTATTAATATAAATTATTATTTCTAATGAATAAATGTTATTACGTACAAACTAGAAATGATCAGAATACCAGAATGCACTGACTCAAATATAATATTTCAATAGATAAAAATGAGAAAACGCACACAAAATTTTCCTATTTAGCACTGACAAAATTTAATGCATTACTTTTAAACATAATAAATTAAAATAATTAAGTTTAAGGTACTAGTGAGGGATTTTTTGCTTAATTATAAAAATATAGATCTATTTGAGGTAATGAAATTAACTTTTATGTTGACTCTGGAATAAACTAAATTACTGGTTTTTACATCCTGATGTTCAGTTAGATATAATGACATGATTAATTAACATTAACATAAGTGAGAAATCATCATTATTCATTGATTAAATGAAATTTATTACGATTTATTTTTTACTTTCATATACGTCTTAAATTAGTATTTATCTTTTTCTCTTCCTTACCTCATGATCTCTGTAGTATGGTTCCTTCAGGTCTGGAGGAACCTTGTTGTTGTAAGCCTTAGATACCAGCCATAACACGGATGCTCTCTGCTTTGCCTGTTAATATATTAATAATCATATCATGCTAAAAGGTTTACTGATGTATTACTCAATAAGCTACACTCTAAGAGCTCAAATTCTAAAAATAAATACCTTTAACTAACCATCTTACTAATATCTTTTTAGTAAAATTCTGGATTTCAAATTTTATAAAACCACTTTATTAATCTTGAAATTCATATTTACTGTGTGTTTTAAAATCCATATACTAAATGAAATAAATTATGAATTGGCATATTGTTGACACATTTTTCAGCATACAAAATTATAAAATACAAACTATTAACATTTATCATCTTGTTAAGGCAAATTTGTAAAAAAAAAAAATCAAGCTGTGAACACAGAACTGTCCCCATAATGATTATTTGATGTGTCACACCTTCTGTGTTGTGGCTTTCTACAATATCAGCATTAAGAGAATATCAAAAATTAAAGACTGCCAAGTAAGAAATGAAATTTTATCTACTAAGAACACAACCTTACTATCTAGAGTTCCATTACAACTGTATATCCAAATTTTGAACAAATATAATATGTTAAATAATTATATCTGCTTAAATAATTATATAAAAATAAATGTTTTATAACTCCATATTTTTATTGATTCACAATCAAAATTTGTTTATCGGTAAAAATAACATTAGAACAAAATTAAATTAAATGTCTCATGTTACATGTGTATACACAAGAGTAAATCTCATACTTATGCTTATGTGAACATCTATAGTTTCTAAAGTAGTTTTATTCCTGTTTAAATTGTAAAAGTAGAAAATTCTCTGCCAATAAGAAGCTCTATTGAATTATAAAAATACATGTGTTGTAGAACTTACATTTTAATCCTACTACTTATACACCTTAAAACAAAATTTAAATCAAAATGAATGTCTTGATTTACCTAAAAATCATCCTAATTACTTGTGCACTTTACATGCATGCAAGTACACCTTACATGTACTTTTAATATTTATTAGTAATGATAAAACATTTAAAGTTACATGTTCAGAGGCATTCCAGAATATTTGCATACATTTCTTATGAGGCAGTCTCTTATACTTAAATTCATTATTGGCTATAAATTATTCTACACATACTTCTTTCTTATTAAGTAATGCTCTATAAGCATGTATATATATTCTTGATGACATTACAACTCCTCATGATAAACTAAACTACAACCACTGCCAGATGTATTTAAAATCAATGTAAGAAGCTGTTGTATACAGTGTTTATATCTGGATGGTATGCATGTAGAGCTTTGTGTTATAAGTAACAGACTATAGGATATAATTACTACAAAAAAGTGGCAACTTTACACTTTTAACAAGTAATGAATAACCAGAAACCAATAAAACATCCAGAAATGCTGTAATTAAAAAAAGGAAAATTAACAGTACTAAATTCCAACTTGCTATCTTAACTTCTATAATAAAATTAAGAGAACAATTAATTTTGTAATATTCACTGACTTTCATTAAAAAAATAAGTTATAAAAGGGTGGCTGAGGTGCCAATTTATAAGTCGTTCTTTTGAGATGTTTGTGTAGATCTTTCCTAAATCCCCTAATAAACAAATAACTGTAGGTAGCATCTACATGTGTATGTAGCTATCATCCTATGAATTGAAACACTCTCCTAGGAACATAAATTCAAAATTCAACCTCATGATATACCTACATGCAATTACAGAAGTACCTTACTGGTAAGTTAAATGCAAACTTGACTTGGATGAAATCTGATTGGTTTGGTGGATTCCACGAACAAACACCCAGTTACTCATATGAACAAAAAACAAAACTTTAAGAATTCTGAACTCTAAAAATTTATATTTTCCTATACCAGAAATTTATTTCTGACAATACTTACTTCCACTCACATTTTAGCTCTATCCCGATGAAAGGATCTCTTCTTTGCTCATCTGAGCAATGGTATGAACTCTACCTCCCTTGCTCCAGTCTTTATACCCCACTATATCACCTCTCATGATTTTGTGACTCTCTCCACCTATGTCAATCCACCCTCTACACCCAATCCGTGTATAAGCTCCCTGTTATTATTTCTTATTCCCTTTTTGAGACTAGCAAGATTATCAGACCCGAACACTAGCTATCGTGGAGAGGAAGAATGGCGAAACCACAGCCAGGGGAACGTGCTTGGAAAAATCAGCGTGGAAAGAAGGAGTATGAGGCAAGTATTATCAGAAATAAATTTTCGGTATAGGAAAATTTAAACTTCTGAAACACACTTACCACCGCTTACACTTTAGCTAGAATCCCACACTGACCAGGTGGAGGGGCCAGTGAGGGCAAGATTCACACAGAAAGCATCTGTGTAAAAAAATTAGGTGTGCAAAATTGAGATATAATAAAGCACACTAGTAGGGGTCCACACTACTTCTGCAACAGGTATGCTCTTTGCCCAGATAAAGTGAAATCTAAGTATGGGCAGTAAAGGCCAGCTATATAGTCAACATTGTTCATTATAATGAGATTTGCCCAGGCTCCAATCACATACAAGGTTCCACGTTTCATTGTTGGAATTATAGGGCTGTCAATTCGAAGCTAGATTCAAGTTGTAATGGCTAAGGCATGGGAAATGTAATATGATATAGTTGTATAACCCTTTCGAGATGGGTCACAGGTGAAAGGCCATATAATTTCATTTGTTGACTCGCATTCAAAATTTTACTTTTCATGAATTTATGTCAATAAGTTTGGTATCAAACTGTGGATTATAATTCAAATTTTAGAACTATACATCACTCAATTTCTTAATTTAAAAGTAAATATTAAAAAAACACAGATAAACATCAATTTTTGTGTGTCACATGGTATGTTGAATGCAGCACTGTTTCAAATTAGATGTTTTGTGAAGTCAAAATACTAACTAAGTCTATAGTTTCAAACGAATTAGAAACTCAAATTATCGTCATTGACAAGCTAGAATATAAAATAAGAAGGTCTTATCTTTTCTATTTGCTAAAATATTGCTCACATAATAAACCAAACACAGTGGTAACCAGGTCACCTCTTTCCATGCTCACTTATATACAATTACTTTTATATACGACAAGAATAACCAATCAGAAGCTCAGAATGTCCCCTAGTGGTTTTCTCAGTCTTTCTAACGTACCTAGCACCATTTCTTTTTTTGAATCAAGATTTCAATGAGGTAAGTTGTTGTGTCTTTAGTCTGCTCAAAATTTCATATTTTGTTGACCCAAATAAAGCTTAGTTATTAAGCTTTAAATGTGGTAATGATATAGTAATTTATGATTTTTTAGTTATTCAAAAGTACATATAAAACCTAAAATAATATTTTGTTTCATATCCTCCACATGCAAAAGTTAAGTGGAAAGGATTTGGTAATATTTTTAACAAATAAACCACCCAACAAAAGAACACATTAGAATAATATATATGTTAAACATTATTTTAGTTCATGTCACCATTATTGTAAACCATGAGTTCTTCAATAGTTTACATGTTGGTATATTTTATATGTTGTGCTGTAAAGTATTCATGACTAAATGTTTAAAAAAATATATGAGCAAATATATATATATATATATATATACATATATAATAAAGAGCTTAGATGACAAAATGTGGTACAAAATATTCCTAGAAAAAATTCAGCTGCCAAATATTGATGGATATGCAGCTATTTTTATCATCAATGTAATCTTCTTGGTATGTATTTGGGTCTAAAGATATTGGATGCTCAGAAATTAGAAAATTTCTTATCACCCACTTATTATTGAAAACCCAATATCAAATGATTGTTTGTATGGGGAAATAAGAGTGCCCCAAGAAAAACCCAATTTCACTGGCTTGGGCACTTGCAGCATTTTGACTACAACTAGGTCTATGTATATTTTTTAATGTTGTTCTTTCATTGCTTTTAAGTTATTTGATGATGATAATTTGTGGTCCATGTAACAATAACAAATTAGTTTATCTATTCCTTAATGTTTCTATATTTCAACTGTACACTGCTGTAACTTGTAGGTCTAATATTAAGTTCATAAATGATGTTAAAAATGGAAGTACCTTGCTAACTGTACAACAATTAACAAAACAATAAACTTTGTGACACAGCTTTACTGATAATTGATCAAATAACTAAATATACATGATCTTTAGATTTACATGTGGTGCACAATAAGCAACAGGCCACGTCCAGCTCTTTTGCATGTTTATCAGTTAGGCAATGTTCCTTTATGTTTCTAATTAACCTACTAAGTTTAAGCTCAATAATTTCCACATAATCTCTCACATTTTATATAAATGTTAAGCTTATATATCATGTAAAAAGATGGCATTTCTAAAAATACAGTTAGAGTAAATACGTTTTAATTTTATGTTTGTTTCCTTTAGTCCAATATTTGCAACTAAACAGGCGGACACATTAATCAAGTTGTTTATCATCTGCTTAGCAGTGTCTAAGTTATAATGTATAGTTAACACTGAATTGGAAAGATACAATCTAATTTCACATTTCTTTGTACTGTGACTAGAATAAATGTCTAAAAATGATTCTTACTAAACAAGTTATTCCACCCAATAATATGGATATAAACAATTACAACTGCTACCCTTCAGAAATAGTCTGGTTAGTATCTTAAAGTTAAAGTAGAAACACTAGTGTAATGTATTCAAGTGGCAGATTCCAATCTGAAAAAAAACAAAAAAAAAATTTATATATATATATAT